ATTAAGAGTTTTATAGAATTTACTAGGTTCTATTAATACTTTATTAAAGGATTCTTATAGATCCTTATACCTGTTACTACTTTAAAAAAGAAAGGAACCCTATTCTTATAAATTCTAATTTACTAGACTACTTTTAAAATACTAAAAGTAGAATTTATTAAGAAACTAATATTAAGGTTCTTTAATTAGAATTAACTAGCTATTTTAGAAACTAATATCTTAGACTTTATATTTACTGGAGTATTATTATAATATAATAATAATAAAATTCTATATCTAGTAAGATTCTACTTAAAGAAAATAACTTTAATTAAATATAATTATAAGATATATAATAAGGAGTTACTAGTAATTATTTATTACTTAAAAAAATAGATCCTAGAATTAGAAGGATACTAGTATTTAATTAAAATTATAATTAATTATAGAAATCTAGAATATTTTATAATAATTAAAATATTAAATTAATAATAAGTCTAATAGTCTAAATTCTTGTCTTACTTTAACTTTATAATTAATTATCGCCCGAGTAAATATAGGGTAAAACTAGATAGCTTAACTAGGAGGTTATAAGATCTTTCTAAGAAGGGAGATAAATACTTGCTATATTAAAGTTAAATAATATTAAAAAGAGAAAACTTGGCAAGCTTCTTATTTAAATACTTAAAGAAGTTATAGAACTAGTAGATATTATAATTAATCTAGCTTTAAGCTATTACTAGAAGGAAGTTAATATATTTCTAGCTACCTAAGCCTAAAAAAGAAGAGATTATCTAGCTCCCTGAATAGTTAAGAGAGTGCCTAGATAAGGATTATAAATAAGATCTAGCCCTTAATAATATTCTAGAAAGCCTAGAAAAGGGCTATAACTACTATTTACTAATTATATTATTTAAGTATACTTATTATTTTAGATTTTTATTTTACTATAATTAATTATATATTCTTAATATAGAAGAATTAAAGGTAGAACTAATATATAAATATTATAAGAATATAATTACTAGCTATTAAAGTAGATTAAAGATTTATAAATTATTATTATAATTATATTACTAGCCTAAAATACTATAATTTATAGAATAATAAATTTATAACTACTATACTTATAAATAATCTATACCTTATTAAGATAAGTATTAAGAAGTACTCTATTTTTTATTTATACTTAAAGATCTCTAGAGAGATATATTTATTAACTTTATTATATATTTATTCTATAGCTTAAGCTTTAATACTATTATAGTAATAATTAACTAGTTAATAAAATTTTAATATTATATTTCCTATAATAATATTTATAATACTAAGGAAGTTACCTGCCTATTTTAAGATTATATTTAGAGATTTTATAAATTTCTTAAGTTTATTATATTTAATTAAGAATCCTAGTTTATATTAGTATTCTAGATATACTTAAACTATATTTTAAAGATAAGATTTCTTCTATTTATTATTTATTATCTTAAAACTAATAAGTAAATTAAATATATAAATATTATTTTAGAATAATATTTATAAGTTTATATTAATTATTTATAAGATAATTAGGCTAAATAGTTACTTATAGTAGAATTTACTATTAATAATACTAATTTTAAAATTATTAGATACTCTCTATTTTTTACTTTATATAGTTTTAATTTTTATATAAGATTTAAGCCTATCTTACTTAATTATTACTTATAAACTTATAATACTTACTAATTTATCCTAATTATAAAATAGATATAGGAATATTACCATATTATTATAGTTATTACTTAAGCTTACTATAAATACTATACTAATTAGAAATATTATCTTGCTAGATATTATATTAAGGACTAATTAATCTAATTAAATACTAAGAATATTATAATCTTATACTTCTAAAAGAAATTAAACTAGAAAAATCTAGGCCTCTTTCCTATTAAAAGGATTATTAACTCTTATATTTATAAACTAGACCTGCCTAAGAATATAAAAATATATCTAGTATTTTATATTAAATTATTATACCTGACTACTAAAGACTTGCTATTTAGATAAGAGAAAACTAAATCCCTATATATTAAAGTTAATAGTATTAAGGAATAAAAGATTAAGAAAGTAATTAACTTTTACTAGAATTATTATAGTTAAGGTAACTACCTATATTTAAAGTATATTATTAAGTAGATTAAATACCCTACTATTACTAAAATTCCTGCTAGCTACCTAGAAAATACTACTAAATATATTACTATTTATTATTACTACTACCCTAGAAAGCCTAGACCTTAGAAATACTTTACTAAAGCTCAGCCTAAGAGAGGGGATACTATTATGGTATAGCTATATACCTATCTAGTTAAATTTTGCCCTAACTATCTATTTCTACTCCTATATTTAAGCTATATTACCCCTAATCCTGTTATAGCTCTTTGAGCTACGTCCTTGTCCTGACCTGACCCCTACCTATTGTATCTATATGCAGATAGCCTGAATATACACCCTGCTGTTAGCTACACCTACTGCCCGCCTGCTCCCCGTGACACCTCCCATGACTATTATTACTAATAAGGAAGGCGCCTTGATAAATATAATCTGTAAGATCTTTTTATTTACATACAACTTAATCTATATATAGTATATTTATCAGAATATTCTTGCAGAGGTATAACCTATTCTTGCTAGCTAAGTTATATAGGAAATCTATGGCAATAATGTGGTAGAGGCAAGAAAGAATAATAAGGAATATAAAGATTATATTAACTAGTAGTAGAAAGTCTTTCAAGCATTATTTAATATAATTGTATATGTAAAAATTAAGGAGGAGAGAGACTTAATAATTAGTAATTTTAAAGTTATATATAGTAGTAAGATCTAGCAAGAATCCATAAAATATATTATTAATAAATAACTAAATAATAAGACTTAATATTACTTCCTATTCTATTATTTTATAGATTATATATACCTTATATAGATAATAACTTCTTATAATAAGTTAGGTTATTAGATACTTAAGCAAGAGCTTTAGATCTCTATAAATAACCTTTTAGAAGTATGGCAATTCTTTGAATATACTATAGTAAGGTAATATATTAAAATATAGTAGATCTATAATAATAATAAGATAAAGTACCTATTATGATTTATAAGAGACCCCTTATTCTAAGTTATATTAAATTAGATCTCTTTATTTATGCTTGGCTATGTTATAAAGGTTAAAGAATACTTTCTAGGGCCTAATAAAACTCTATATAATCTAGACTATAATAGGAATACAAAGAGAATAATAGGGATCCCTTATATTTATATTATTAAGAAATATATTGACTGCAACAAGCCTCTATAGATCTATTATTTTTATTAATACTGGCAGCTTTATATAAATATTAACTTGTTGCCTCCTATTAATTTATAGCTATTAGTCCTTAATCTTATAGTCTATAGGACCCATAGCTATCCAAGAGGCTCAATAAATATCCTAATAGCAAGCTAGCTAGCGAGCCAGGGTGATATAGATAGGTCTACCTAAAGAGAGCTATCTTATCATAAATATATCCTAGCATAGGAGAATTTGACGCCTCGCGGGGGATATAGGAGAGGTAGAGGAGGCAGAGAAGGTAGAGAAGGTAGGAGAGGTTATTAACCTATAAAGAATAGAATAGTTAGTATTTTTTTTCTTAATTAGGATAATAATATTTAATAGACTTATAGCTAGCAACCTCGCAGGCCATTAATCTAGTAACTAATCTAGTAACTGAGCCAGCAACCTTGCAGGCCACTAATCTAGCAATCAAGCTAGCAACCTCACAGGCCACTGATCTAGTAACCGAGCCAGCAACCTCGCAGCGCAGAAGATGTGATAGAAGATGTAGAAAATAGGGAGGCAACTAGGGGTATAGAGGACATGCTATTATATGGAAATAAATTCTAAATACTAGCTTTTAATTAGCTAATAATTTATATGATTAGAATTGCTTAAATAATATATATTTTATTACTTTTATAGGTGCTTATTTTAATAGATTTAAATATAGATATCTAACTTTATATGTAATATTTTTATCATGTGACAAATAGGTGTGGTATTATTAGGTCAGGGGGTGTGGCATGATCAGGAAGGGGTGTGGTTGGATCAATACAGGGTGTGGCGTTAACAGTCCCCTTTACCAAATCCAATACATAGAAAATTTCCAGTAATACAAGAAGTAGAAAACTGTAATGGAATTTCAACTCACTAAACCCATTTGAGCATAAATTTCTTCATCAACTTTGCACTGTCATTTTCACTTCCCAAATCATAGTTACAGTGTACACAGTACATGGTTAGTTAGTTAGTTAGTACTTAATAAAGTAAGCCCTCCATCTAACTAACGAACTAGACCCTGGAAAGGTTAATTAGACTGGACATATAGTTATATATTTTTATATCTTCTTCTCCTCTAACACTGTTTTTTTGTCTCTAGTAGAAATGTTACACAATTGCCCACCTAGATAGGTATACCTATGTGATCCATAACCCCCTCCCCCCTTCAGGTAGGCTATTCTATGCAGATTTCCGGCGTGTGCCGTCGCTACCGCTTTAGTCTACCATTAAATTTACATTAGGTAGGGATGGAGATGTAGATAGGTATTTAAAGGGTATATATAACTATATATACCGTACGACGGTTCGATTTTGATACCAATGAGATCATCCACGGCTGTAAGTACTCCGCTACCTACAGTCTGTCCAGGGTACCAGAGTATACCGCAATTACAGAGTACAATACGGAGGAGTACCTAAGTAGGTACCTAGGTAGAGAACAAATCATCGCTTAGCATGCCGCGTGGTTCATGTCATTTTAAATTCTGAAAAAAAAAAAAAAAATATTAAAAAAATATATATATTTTTTTATTAGGGCTGACGCTTCGGCTTCCAAAAAAGAATTGTCGGAATTCTTCGGAGGTCTGTCTCTCCAGCTAACGCCGCTGCCTATATATCCTAGCCGCCTTTCTTCCGGCCAAAGTTAGCAAAATCTGGTAAAATTGTACCCGCGGCCGAGAGGACCGGAAAATACGGGAGTTCATGCCTACCTAGGTAACTAGGATAATGGTCACGTGCTGGCTCGGATTTACGGAGTAAACTTTTAGATGGGATTTTTTTCTGGGTTCATCACAGTATTACGGAGTATCTAGGGAGATGTTAAATACTAGTATAAGTAAGATAAGGTTGACTTCTGGAGACTGGGTTGATGAATGTCGTCTCGTGTGGTATAACTAGTTATTTCATTCTCCCTCACCAATGTCTCACCGTAACTAGGACTTGCTCTCTCGAGTCTAGCTCGATGGATGATTGCTGTCCAGTGATGAGCCCAAGACGAGTGAGAATCTGCCAGACCAGTTTTCTTTTCAATGCTTCCCGGATAGGGATATTCTCTAGGGCGTCATAGCCATTGAAGTATTTGACATAGGTTGGCCAGACTTGCTTCAGCGACGTTCGAAGCCCGGCGAACTCGGATTCCCCTTCGGGGCTAGCCCCTTTCCCGTTGTTATTGGAGTACCTGGTATACTCGGGAAAGCGGGAGACAATTTCGTCAAGCCACCGGGATTCCAGCGGTGAAGCGCGGTGTGGCAGAATGATCAGAGACGATGTTTTCAACGAGGTATTTCGATCAAGGAGAGAGTGCGAAAGGTCAAGGGTGTCTTCCACCTTGTATCGATTTGGCATCGGGGTTTCTTCGCCGCTGCCCTGGCTTGCGAGAGATGACGACGAAGATGACGCGCTGTCATCGAACCCGTCCTCCGAACCGTCTTCAATAACAAGCTTCTCTGTGTCCGATGTGAGCGATGTCGATCGGCCCTTGCTCAGGTACTGGTCTACTTCCTCTCGTCGGACGGCCATTTCAACAGCCATTTTAATTTTAGGAGATACTTTGACGCGAGCGAATGACCGAAGTTGAGTAACCCAGCCGCCTCGTAATAGCCATGCTAGTATAGCAAAGTAAGTTAATTTGTGATCCTTACTTGGGATAAAGCTTCCGTAAGGCCGCGGGGTTCCGCTCAAAGCTGATAGCATCTTCGGTAGACTGGGAAGAGTTGGAAAAGCGAGTTGATAAGCAGCGGTGGCTGCTTCCAACTTACTAAGATCGCAATTTGGCGATACAATGTAAGTATCGCGTTGATGGAGAGGGGGGATTGCACGAGCTCTTCTCCAGTAAACCAGGTGACTAGCGAGCATTTGAATGGTGGAGAGTGGTATACCAGACGATGCTGAAACTTGGACAAATGACTGCGTTGGTCTGGAACATCGAAGATAATGGGCTAGGGGGGCAGCTAAAGTGCCACCAGAAGCTTCCACATCCTTCAAGATAGCTGCCTCGTTATCTAATAACAGTAGAGCAAAATTTTTAGCCAGCACTTGGTGGGGTGCTGTATTTTCGTCCGCTGTTGGATCGTCCACAGGTGTGATGCTGTCCGCTGTTGTAAGCCACAGCCCCGGATATGCTTGGTCGCTTGGACCAGCAAGATAAGGAGTCGAGGTCAAAGGCGGGATTTGCAGGGAAATAGAAACATCAGGACTCAATGTGACGGATGCGATCTTTGAGGCAGATATGCTGGTGAACAAAGTGTACATTGCCCTTGCAAGAGATGACTGGTTTATTAGGTCGGAATACAGATTATTGAGGGGAATTCCTATGCAATGATTAGCTTCGGTAGCTGAACAAGCAGCGTCGTCTCTATACGCACTTTTTTCCTTAGCTTTTTCCTTGATATGCAAAATATGTTGGGACTCCCTCCAAACATAGTCGGCTCTAGCCTGCTCCCACTTAAGGGCTTTCGTAAATTTTTTGATAATATTATCATATACTTCGCGGAGGCGCATTGAATACTCCAGCAAAGGGGGATCAAGGACAAAAACCACATTGAACATGGTCATTGAATCCTTATCATCGGCATCCAGTGAATCGCCCAATAGCTTTGATGATCTATTGCTAGACACAGACGTTCGTGGGTGTTTCACAGTCGTCATATGCGGACTCAATGTTTCTGTCGAAGCGGCGATTGCCTCAGCACCATCATCTTGGGAGTCCTCAGTTGTCTCGTTATGCCCCAGCTCTCCTCCTTCCCACTCTGCACGACCTTTCTTCTTTTTCTTCCGCCTCTGTTTCCTCCAGGCGCCATCCTCGCGAATGAACACCGGCCACCCAACAAGGGCGAGATCGTTGATTCCAACTTCAAAGCGCCGTTTATGCCATGAACGTGACGGGCTTAGCAATTTTTCCCAAACATTAACGGGCAGACCAAGTAATGATTCCCATGGTGGACGGGACGGACCTCCCGATCCGTCCTCCTGCCTGTCAGAACCCCCGTTGGACTCGTTCTCGACGTCAGAATTATGGCCACGTTTTTTCATATACGTTCTCGAGGAGCCGATAGATCCCGGTCGTTGACTCTCGCCGCCTGGGGAAACTGACATGGACACATCGTCGATCCCAAAGTTGCTCGACCTCCTGGCACTCAGCGTGTTTCCTGCGGCGTGAGTTGGAGTTTGGGCCAGTGTCTGGACCTGAGGTTCCTCTTCATCTTCGTCGGAGCTAGAATGAGAATCATCGCTGGAACTGGACTCATTACTTTTCGAGCTTTGTCTGCTCTTTGACCGTGATGTGCGCCTTGCTTTCCCTGGTGCTCGGGGGGCGTTATCGCTGAGAGGTTTCGGCGGGTAATGGAATACAAAACGAGGACCAGCACGCGAGCGGGCGATAAGAATAATCGCTACCAAGCAGGGGTCCGATGGCCGTGCAATTGAAGACATCTGAGGAGATCACTGCTGCTGATGAGTTGCTCCTGTGGAGCTTCGACGGGAGATTCCAGAGGCTGGAGCTTGGTATTTGGCGGACTAAGAATCGGTTCCCCGCATCGATTCCCGCATAACCAGCCACATAGCTGGACAGAGGTCTCTGGTCACCATCCAGGATACCTTGAAGGATATGATCCGAAATAAACTGACAGATATGGGGCTACTGAATAATCTACTTGCTGACAAGTTAGTTTGAACTAGCACCATCCAAATACTTTGGGACTAATGGTATTCACAGCTCAATTGTAAGAGCTTAGCGTCACTTCGCTGTTTAATGGCTTTGTCGAGCGATTTTTTGAACAAACTGGTTCTCCTAAAGTAGGATTAAGTAAGTAGAACAAGTAGCTTTTTACTTGAATATTCTTCTAAATGTTTCTTATTCTTTTCGTAATCTTTGAATCCTTGCCTTGTTCCCTACTAACTAACTAGTCAATAGTATAGGGTTATGTAATCTGGTGCCTCAGGCCGCAATAGGTTGAGCGAGTGACGAACATCCAAGCAAGTCAGCTCCAGCCGCGCCTCCCAGCTTCTTCCCCAGATTGCCTGGCTGGACAACCTTAATTCCCGCTTATATTTCCGACCTGGTCCCTTTCTATTCAGTATGGAAGTGGCCTCTAAGCAGACCTCAAGGCTGCTTCGATCCTCTGCGAGCGGCCTACTCCTCCAACCTCATCCACCTCTTCGTCTTCACTCCGGCATTCCAACGACACACGCCTTGAATCGCATTCGACGCAGAAATGTGTCCACTACGCAAAGGAGGCCTGCTCCCGAATCCTCGATTCTCAACCTGGGATCTGGATCCCCGTCGTCCGGGGTGCCGCCTACATACTTTGGCAACCGTACCTCGCTGCCGATGAATACGATTATCCGGTTCGTTCCTCAACAAACCGCATGGATTGTTGAGCGCATGGGAAAATTCCATCGGATACTGGAGCCTGGTCTAGCAATTATGGTTCCTTTTATTGATCGGATTGCCTATGTTAAGAGCTTGAAGGAGTCGGCAATTGAGATACCTAGCCAGAATGCTATTACTGCTGATAACGTCACGCTGGAACTTGATGGAGTGCTTTATACGAGGGTTTTTGATGCTTATAAAGCAAGGTAAGAGAAAAAGGATCAAACTTAGAGAACTTGTTGAACGTGTGCTGATGGCAATATTTGTACCTTTTAGTTACGGTGTGGAGGATGCTGAGTACGCCATCTCCCAACTTGCACAAACGACGATGCGATCGGAAATCGGTCAACTCACACTGGATCATGTTCTGAAGGAGCGTGCGACACTCAACACCAACATCACACAGGCTATCAACGAAGCTGCGCAGGCATGGGGTGTGGTTTGTCTGCGGTACGAAATCAGAGATATCCATGCCCCAGAAGGAGTTGTGGAGGCCATGCACCGTCAGGTTACAGCGGAACGCTCCAAGCGCGCGGAGATTCTCGACTCCGAGGGTCAGAGACAGAGCGCGATCAATATTGCCGAAGGTCGCAAGCAGTCCGTTATTTTGGCTTCGGAAGCCATGAAGCTTGACCAGATTAATCGCGCTGCTGGTGAAGCACAAGCGATTTTGTTAAAGGCGGAGGCGACAGCCCGAGCGATTGAGGCGGTATCTAATGCCATTGAGGCTGGCCAGGAGAATGCACATGGAGCTATCAGCCTCAGTGTCGCAGAGAAATACGTCGAGGCATTTGGCAACCTTGCCAAGGATGGCACGGCAGTTGTTGTCCCCGGAAATGTTGGTGATCTGGGTGGAATGATCGCACAGGCTTTAGCTGTTTATGGCAAAGTAAACGAAACCCAAGCACGAAGCATTGCGGCCAAGACCCTCGGAGTGCCAGAGGTTTCGCCTACAAATACTGCGACAAAAGACACCGGATCCCAGGCGGAAGACGGGGCCGCAAGGGATGCAGTCGCCGAGCAAGTCCTCGAAGGATTTGACCAGGCCACCCAACAGAAACATTAACGAACGGGAGCTTTGACTTGAGCGATACCTATCATTCTGTGCCATTCCCCATATAGTTTGCCGACCCTCTACTCTATCCAGTGATGCATTGAGTATCCGCGTTACTGGGTTTTTACGACTATTTCGGGTGGGATGGTCTTTCTCACCCCCCTTCTCTGTACCTTGTGCCATCTACTCTGGTCTAGTTTCTGTTCTACATTTTCTTTGGCATGTCTCAGGAGTCAGGTATGGAATAGTGTATGGAACCTCGTGGCTGGTGCGCGGGTGGGGGTTTCAGTGCCAGGGCTGCTATTCTTTGATTAGTGAACTATGTACAGTAGACAAATGGGTTGAGGCAGATCCATGTAACAATCCACGCCTCACGGGACTCTGAGTGTACTATATTCCTACTTTCTCACTGTGTATTATCTGTTCTATGGTTATTGTCTATGAGAAATGTGGATTCTTGCCTCCCCTACTCCCGAGACTTGAACATGGGCGGTTGTTGGTTTACCTCCACCTCAAATGAAGCAGGCTGTGGGATACAATGAAGCTTCACCGTCATTGAAATCCTAAATGCCTCTGGACTGCTCCAATATAATTGTATTGATTCCCATGAGGACGATAATAATTGGTGCTTATAATTGCGGAGAAAATAATATATCTAAACGTACTATAGGAAGCTCGGACCACCTCCTGCCGCGCCGCCCAGAAAGAATCCTGGGAGATCGCGACAGCGAATTTGGGCGCGCCCTCCGTCGGCCCTTTTTCTGTTCGCATTGCTCCCATTCGCTTCCATCCGTTCCTCGACAACAGATCCCCCTCCGAGTCCACCCTAATCATCACATCTTCTTAACCGAAGACCTCATACCCTATTACCAAGTCCGTGGTCCGATGCGAGGTGGACGTCATCTTGCGATGCCCCAAATAAGCTGTCCTTCATCCACGTCAACTCTCTAGTAACCGACTTTCAAAACAACTCCCAGGAGAGGGAGGCAGCGACAAGGTTGCGGCAATGCATATCATCAAACCCGTCTGGCTTACACATGGAGGTAAATTACTATCTGTCCTCTCCTCATTTTCGCTTTCCCCTATCCACTCGTTTCTTTCAACCCCCATGGTGTGCTGTTGGTCTTGAGAGCGTGTCTGGCTAACCCCATTGCCTTCCTTGATATTTTCTTATCATAGGTGAGAGGAAAGATTTCGAGGTGTACAGTTGCGATGTGTCGCCCGATGGAAGCCGCCTAGTGACTGCAGCAGGAGGTCAGTTGTTCCCCTTGCCATACACCGCGGAGCATAACCGGGAAACGCTCTGGGAAACGGACGGTGATTGACCGGTGCATCATGCTTGGATTCAGATGGATACGTTCGAATATGGTCTACAGAAGCTATTTGCGGCACCGAGGACCCTACTACCGTCAACAAACCAAAGCAGCTGGCTTCGATGAGCAACCACTCCGGAACGATTCACACGGTCCGCTTTTCGCCCAATGGAAAATATCTTGCGTCAGGTGCAGATGACAAAATTGTCTGCATTTATACGCTTGATGCCAACCCCCCTTCTCATGCTTCAACATTTGGTAGGTCATGGAGTCGGGATTCTTGGGGTTTGGAAAGATGAATGAGAGATTGACGAGTCTTGTCGATAGGATCGAACGAGACGCCCCCCGTGGAAAACTGGCGCACAATCCGCAGATTGATCGGACATGACAACGATGTTCAAGATTTGGGCTGGTCATACGATTCTTCGATCTTGGTTTCTGTGGGCTTGGATTCGAAGGTGGTCGTGTGGTCGGGACATACGTTTGAGAAACTCAAGACGCTATCCATTCACCAGAGTCATGTCAAGGGTATCACTTTCGACCCAGCCAACAAGTACTTTGCGACAGCAAGTGATGACCGTACTGTCCGCATTTTTCGTTTCACATCCCCAGCGCCGAATTCCACCGCACACGATCAGATGAACAACTTCGTCCTTGAACAGACCATTACTGCGCCTTTCTATAATTCCCCCCTAACCGCCTATTTTCGCCGATGCTCATGGTCTCCTGATGGTATGCATATTGCAGCTGCAAACGCGGTCAACGGACCGGTGAGCTCTGTAGCAATCATCAACCGTGGATCATGGGACGGAGATATCAATCTAATCGGACATGAGGCTCCTGTCGAAGTTTGCGCTTTCTCTCCTCGACTTTACTCTCCACAGCCGATCAAGAAACAACCTGTAGACGGCCAGGGCCATGCCGTTCAAAACGCGGTCACCGTCATCGCATGCGCGGGAGGAGATAAATCCCTCAGCATCTGGATCACTAGCAACCCACGGCCCATCGTGGTTGCGCAAGGGCTCGCTGCGAAGTCCATTTCTGATCTGGCGTGGAGTCCAGACGGAAAGTGTCTGTACGCAACTGCGTTAGACGGCACCATCCTCGCGGTTCGATTCGAGGAAGGTGATTTAGGTTACGCCATGCCTTTGGAGGAAAATGAAAAATCTCTCACTAAATTTGGTACAAATCGAAAAGGTGCTGGTATTGCGGAGACCACTGATGGGCTACTTCTGGAAGAAAAGAGCAAGGCAGGTGAACTGAAAGGCGTTGAAGGGCGTATGGGTGCTTTAATGGGAGATGGCCACCCGGCTGGAGACACCGTTGTTAACGGAAAACCAACGCCGCTGCCCTCAAACGCTGCAACTCCAGCAGCAGCTCCATCCCCTAATCATGATACCCAGAAACCTCAACCTAACGGCACTACCGCCACTACTACTGTCAACACCACCACCACAACAACAACACAAGAAGCAGACAAACCTGACCCCTACCAGGCTAAACTCGAGAGATTGAAGCAACGACCTACATATACCAAGGATGGTAAAAAGCGTATTGCTCCCCTTCTGGTGTCTGGTGCGGGCGCTGCCGAGTCATCTCTACCACAATCCCGGTTGATGGCATCTGTTAGCAGCCAGGTAAAAGCCGATGCACCACAATCAATTATTGATCTCTCTAAGCCTTTCGATGGCCTTCCCAAGGGAGGCCTTACCTCCTTGCTTTTTGGCAATAAACGAAAGCTTGCGCAGTTAGAAGGTGATGATGATGGGCATGTCGAGAAGAGGGTGGCAGTAGCAAGTCAAAACGGTGCTACCCCTATCTTGGCGAACACGCCAGATGGTCTCCTCCCTGCACAAACCCAACCCGCTCCAACGGGGCAACAAGCGACCCCCGAATTTATCCGACCTGCAGTTACGAATCCTTGCATGGCAGTCAGTCAGCTGCGACTAGCTGTTCCGAAGGTCCGCAGCCAGATTTTGCGTGCTATCGATCCGGCAGGGAAACCAACAGAGCCTCCCGGCACCTCGGGAGAATCAAACAAATCACGCGTGGATGTTGTCTTCGAGGCTCGTAATCCATCGGCTGCTAGCTTGACCGGGCGAGCGGTTGACCGTGAGCCTGTTCGCCTTACACTTTTCCGTGGTGAGCAGCCCTTGTGGCAAGATTTCCTACCAAGAACCGTTCTACTGGTGACGGGGAACCAGAGCATGTGGGCCGCTGCCTGTGAAGAGGGGTCGGTGTACATTTGGACACCGGCTGGGCGACGTCTTGTTAGTGCACTTGTCCTAGAAGCCCAACCGGTGATTCTAGAATGTAATGGGCCCTGGATTCTGTGTATCTCCGCAGTGGGCATGTGTTATGTGTGGAATGTCGAACATCTTTCATCACCGCATCCTCCAGTCTCACTTCAACCGGTTCTAGACGCCGCAATTCACACCCTTGGAGCACATCCAACCGCCGCCCCCTCCATAACAAATGCCAGGATAAACTCTGAAGGCCGGGTTATAGTTGCGTTATCAAATGGAGAAGGGTACGCTTACTCTCCATCCATGTACACATGGCAGAGAATATCGGAGGCCTGGTGGGCTGTCGGCAGTCAGTACTGGAATACTACAGAAGCTCCGGTAGGAAATTTGCAGTCTGCCGACTCCCAACAAGACAAAGAGGCCAAGGCAGCCGTATCGGCCGGTATAATTCCATTCCTAGAACGCAACACAACCAGTGAAACTCTACTACGTGGTCGTGCCTACTTCTTACAGCGATTGATCAAGGTCCTTCTGTCAAGAGAAGGATACGAGAGCTTCGAATCCAGTGTGTCAATTGCCCACCTGGAGAACCGCCTTGCAGCTGCCCTCTCCCTCGGAGCCAAGGACGAGTTCCGCTTGTACCTTTCCATGTACGCGAAACGGATCGGAGCTGAAGGCTTGAAGATTAAGGTGGAGGAGCTACTGAAGAGTCTTATTGGTGGACTATTTGAAGAAGACGATACGGATGCAACCCGACGCTTGCAGCGCAACGATCACGAGGACCGAAATTGGCGAGATAGTTCGGAGGCGCTCTGTGGCTGGCCACGCGAGGTGCTACTGAAGGAAGTGATACTGGCCCTTGGTAAGATCCGGCCCGAGCCTGTATGTTTTCATTACTTACTGACAAATTTCTTTCCAGGAAAACATCGCGACCTCCAACGCGTCACTGTGCCCTATGCAAAGTTACTAGGAGTAGTCGATAACGAGTCCGAGGCAGGAGACGCAATGGAAACGTAACCATACTTATACTTCATCTTCTAACGTGTTTTTTTCTTTCTTTCTTCTTTTTTCATCTTTCATTCTTCTTGTCTTTCTCGAGGCGTTCACGGAGTAAAGCTCATGGATGGGCTGCGGGAGGTAGGATAGTGCTCATTTCAGTCTTTTTTTTTTTTTTTTTTTCAATTCAAGGGACCGGCGATGTAAACTACGGAGTGTTTTTACTGGATTCTCAAAAGGCTATTATACTTTCTTCCATTTCTGAATATTCTTCTTCTTCATAAAGGGAGTAATATAGCTATAGCCTGCTACAATCTTCAGTCTTATAAACGATAGTATCCATAGAATCGATAGAGATTTCTTTCCTGGATTAATAGTTAATCCGGAGGCATTACATCAGCAATCAGCTCACACTCACGTGGGCGGTGAGTAAGGAGATTACCCTGTAAAAAAACATCAAAATAATTTTCGAGGAGCTTTCGAGGATTCGATTCTGGAATATCAGCCTCGAAAAACCCCCTGAAACCCGTCTAAGACCCAATCTGACCTCGTTACCGGTCCATTGGTCTTCCTATAGCTATAACGCTCTCTTTAACCGCCTCCCAAAACCTTCTCCTACCCACTTGACAGTGGGCGCCGCCACGACGTCACCTACGCAGCCAGTCGTTCTGCTTTGTACCTCCCGATCCGCAGCTGGTCCTGTGTTGGTCTCACGTTTCGTCCATTCTTGGTGCTGCTCTGCCCCCCCGCTTGTCTCTTCATTTCCTTCCCCTCCTCCCTCCTTCTCTCTTGACTTCCGCCGCTTCTATTCCAGCAAGAAAAAGAAGTCGTCCAAAATGCCTCCCAAGAAGGCTGCTGTCCAAGAAAAGGTCCTTCTGGGCCGCCCAGGAAATAACCTGAAGAGTGGTATCGTATGTGAGCAGTGACCCCACCAGCTATTTAATTTTTTTTTTTTTTTTCCCCTTCTGCCCCTCTCTCCCAGCCTCCCTCTTTTCCCACTTTCCCCCTATATAATCTCCTATCCAGCCCACAAAAAATTTTCTCTTCTTTTTTTCTTCTTCATTCTTCCACACATTCCTTACTATCCAAGGAGGAAAATATGGTCTAACATGGCTGTAGGTTGGTCTCGCCAACGTCGGCAAGTCCACACTGTTCCAAGCTATCACCAAGTCTAACCTTGGTAACCCCGCCAACTTCCCTTATGCCACCATTGACCCCGAAGAAGCTCGAGTCATCGTCCCCGATGAGCGCTTCGACTGGCTGTGCCAGCATTACAAACCTAAGTCAGAGGTTCCTGCCAACTTGACCGTCTATGATATCGCCGGTCTGACTCGCGGAGCCTCCACTGGTGCTGGTCTGGGTAACGCTTTCTTGTCCCACATCCGTGCTGTCGATGCTATCTTCCAGGTGGTTCGATGCTTCGATGATGCTGAGATTATCCACGTTGAGGGTGATGTCGATCCTGTTCGTGACTTGGTCATCATCAGCGAGGAGCTGCGGATTAAGGATATCGAATTCGTCGAGAAGGCCCTCGAGAACTTGCAGAAGCAGACAAGGCGTGGTGGACAGTCTCTAGAAATGAAGAAACTGCGTGAAGAAGAAGCCACTGTTACCAAGATTCTCGAGTACTTGAAGAGCGGCAAGGATGTCAGACACGGTGACTGGAGTCCTAAGGAGGTACGTTCAAAAAAAAATTTTTTTTTTCTCCCTTTTTATACCCCGGCAACCTTCATATGATGAATAAGAGCTTTGCTCGAATAATAACCCAGCTCGTCGAATGCCCTCATTTTTTTTAAAACTCACGTAGAGGGCATGTTGAGATAAAGTCCTATCTGACAACTTTGTTGCTTGATATGATTCATTACATTTCACACAAACCATATCTACCAGTCATACTAACTGGTACAATAGGTTGAGGTCATCAATCCTCTCTTCCTTCTCACTGCCAAGCCTGTTGTTTTCCTGATTAACCTCAGCGAAAAGGACTACATCCGCAAGAAGAACAAGTACATTCCTAAGGTCATGGAATGGATTAAGACCAATGCTCCTGATGATGCTATTCTTCCCATCTCTGCTTCCTTTGAGGAGCGCTTGACCCGGTTTGAGACCGAGGCTGAGGCTTTGGAAGAGTGCAAGAATGTGGGCGCTTCTTCGGGTTTGCCCAAGGCCATTACCCAAATGCGCACCGCACTCAACTTGGCCAGTTTCTTCACTACTGGCGTGGATGAAGTCCGTCAGTGGACCATCCGCAAGGGCGTCAAGGCACCATCCGCTGCAGGTGTTATCCACACTGGTATGTTCATCGCTACGTTGGTAACGAAAGCAAAGCTAACTGTCCCTAGATTTTGAAAAGACTTTCATTCAGGTTATTGTGTATAACTACTCCACCCTGAAGGAACTGGGTGACGAAGGCGCCGTCAAGGCCGCCGGAAAGGTCATGACCAAGGGTAAGGATTATGTAGTGGAAGACGGAGATGTTCTTCTAATCAAGGCCGGAGCTGCCCGTGGTTAGAGTCATCTAAAAAATGGAATAAGATTGTTTTTAATCTGTACATCTTTCCTTGTAATTCTGTAAACTGTAGCCTTGCAGCACAACGGATTAAAGTAATATATATCCATCGCCGTTCGTGGAGGTATAAAACCGACAAAAATGCCGTAGCAAATTTCCAGACACGTGACCGCATTCCCCGCGATATCACGCCGCGCAAGAGGAGCTTCAAGTACCCCTACAACCAACAAGCAGACACCATGTTCAAAAAGGAGTAAGTTGCTACATATTTTTTTTTTTTGACTATCAGTGATTCATCACAAACAATATCCTCCCAGGAAGGGGCAACAAGAAACTGCAGAGAAATCAGCTAACGAAGCAACAACTGCTAGTATCCCACCGAGCAACCGCTCGAAAGTCAAGTCCTCTGTACAGCGAGCTCTCCGCCAGAAGCTCATAGAGGCACACCCCAAATGCGAACCTTATATTGATGAGATCCTTCCGAAGAAGGCCCAACTCGATGCCGTTAAGCTGTTCGTTTCCCTTATCCTTACCCTTGTGCTGTTCCTTTGTCCTTTTTTTTTTTTTTTTTTTTTTCCGCTGGTCATATTTTACCCCGCCTTGCTCTCTGCTTGCTATCGCATCAAATGTCCAAAGCAATGGAATGCGCAATGCAATGCAAGAAAACACAGTACAGTTCCGGTTCGAGCCTACAGAGCAGACCAAACATTTATCTATCTATCTATCTATCTATTTATAGATATAGTCAGAGAAAGAGAAAGAAAAAGACAAGCTAATAATAAACTCCTTTTGGGGGGGGGGGGAGGGGAATCTCTAGACCCGAAAGAACAACCCTCTACACCATCGACTCCACCCCTCTCTTTTATCAACCTCTCGACGGCCCTCCCATCCCCCACCTGAAACTCCTGCATGCCTTCCCCGATATCCTACCCAGTATCCAGATCGACCGAGGCGCCATCCGTTTCGTGCTCTCCGGGGCGACGCTTATGGCGCCTGGATTGACGTCGCCTGGTGGACGATTACCGGATGCAGAGCACGCGCTGGAAAAGGGCACTGTTGTTGCGGTGCGGGCCGAGGGCAAAGAGGAGATTTGCATGGTTGGCGCGCTGAAGCTAAGCACTGAGGAGATGAAGGCCAAGGGGAAGGGGGTTGTGATTGATGATGGGCATTATCTTGGGGATGGGCTTTGGAAGATGACTTTGGATTAAGGGGGTTTTTTGTTGTTTTTTTTTTTTTTTTTTTTCTTCTTGAGTCGGGGTGTGAGGTTAGATATGGGATAGATATATGTGTGCGGTGTGGTTGGAATTGGAAAGGTTGAAGAACCTTCCAATTTCCTTTTTTTTTTTTTTTTTTTTTCTTCTTCTTATTTTGGGTTTCTTACTATATGATATTTGATTGAATGGAGGCCCCCCCCAAAAGAGAAAAAAGAGAAAAAAAAAACAAAAACAAAATGATTGACTGCGATTATGTACATAAATCAATGTGGCATATTTTCAAGCTATATATGGCGGCGACCTAACCCTCCACCTCATCGTTCTTAATTGACGCATCACTTACTCTGCCCGGGCTGCCATGGGGGGAGATAGAGGTTGCGGGAGAAACTGAGGACCATGATGGAGAACGGATTTCCAAGCCTAAGCCTTTCAAGCCGGTTCCTGAACCATTGAGTCCCGCTCCGGGAAAACCGTCGCTGCGTAGACCTGCTCGCGACACTGCACGTCGTAGCATATCTCCTGACCCGTCAAGGCCAACCAGGAACCTGGCTAATTGGGCACAAAGTTCCCAGTCACTCCTTTGGGATCCTAGAATCATCAGTCGAACTACATAGTCTTCGACTGATGCGCTGTGGCCCTCTGCTTCGTCTTCAAAAGCCTGTAACACGAGCAGGTAACCAACGGCTGTTTTGAGGGAGTTCAGTTTCAATGCCTGTTCGAAGAGATCCTTTGGAGTGGGGAGGTAGGCGAATAGCGTGCGCCATGAACGAAGCTCCGTCTTTCGTGTACATTGGACAACGATATCTAGATATACACTAGGGGGAAGTGAGGCTTGGAGAAACGAGATTACAGACGGAAGCAGAGGGTCGTGTTTTGGAGAATCATCATCAAGTTTGCGATCGCGTGCTGTGTTGTCGACCTCTTCGTCTAAGACGTGGTGTAGAAGTATTTCGAGGGCGTGAGGAAAGTAGGAAAGATGGGAGAAGTATTGGCATAGCGAGAGAGCAGCGGGCATGTCCCCATGTACAAGACTGTATTGTAGGAAGTATGGGAGGAATAAATGTGTCTAATACAGGGTCAGCAATCTTTGTAATGCAGGTAGGCGGGCAGAAATTACTCGAATTGCGAATTTTTGCACAGCAAATGTTACATCGCGCCGTTGAATCGTTTCCGATTCCACCCCGAGAGCAATCCCTTTATTCAGTAGAACAGATAGAGGGTAGAAGTCAAGAGGCACTTCAATCGGGTTCGGCACATCCTCCTTTTTTAAAACGTCTTGAACGTCGCCCCAGGCCGTAAGATCCTTACCACAGAAGGTCCAAAGCGAATCTCGGAGGGAGAGGTTGTTGTGATATTTGCTCAAGGCCAATTCGGCAGATGGACTAGGTGGCAGAGATTCTTCAAATGATGGAGCAAAATTGAAGGAGAGCTGGTCTCGCATCAAGATATAGTACTCAACATCATGAGATATTACGCGCATATCATATTTTAATTCCCCGGCATCCGACAAAGATGGCTGGAGCAGAACAAGATTACCATCCACGAGGAGAAGTACTGACGCAACCTTCACGTCCCGAGACGGATCTCCGTTGCCTTCTTTCATTAGATACGTAAGGACGCCGGGGAAGTTAATTTGGAAACTCACGAAGTTGGTCTTCCGGTAAAACCCAGCTGATAGCTCGGACACGAGTGGGTGCTCGTACAATCCCGTTGAACGCGATTTGGCCGACGGGGACGAGAGTGATTCGAGGTTGCGTGGAATTGATTATATAGTGGTATAGGATATTATCGTAGGTATAGACAAGGAGAGAGTCCTCACCAGAAGGCCCGATGAAGACCACCGGCGAAGGAAGGTACTCTATATGCAAAATAGAATTATTATTCAGTGGTAGTTCGCGTGGAAAAAGACACAACTATGGCAAAGTCAGTATTAGCAATCAACAAGGTCCAATAATATAATATAATATACATACCTCGTACGATCCATCACGATCGATAGCAGCGATTAGTATATGCCCGTACCAACACATTCCGCCACGGACTGTGAAGGAATTCTCTATCTTGGAATCCTCAAATACCTTCCAGCGACCGCTGTTTACGCTATAGTGTGCAAGACCGCGTCTGCCGGCGATGGCAACGTATCTTCCATCTTGAGACACGACGGTGGAACGAATTGGCCATTGAGAGTGAAGATAGGCGGGGGGATACTGTGCGTGGTGCCAAAGGGAGTCCTTCCCGGAAATCGTTATCAAATCTGGCAGATCATGGCCACGATAGATGATAACCTCCGTCCCTGTTTGCAATAAACCTCGAGCAAGATTGGCAGATGAAAAGCAGCCGGTGAGTGCACTTCGGGCTGTTTCTAGAATCCATAAGCGGCGGTCGTCTTGCCCCGTCAGAATGATATCTGAGCCTCCACCTATCCAGCATCCGTGTGAAACACCTATCAGCCAATCTTCGCTATTAGATTTCGCAAGAGACCGGTCGATCGAGAAACTATTCCCGCCCGGCTTGCCAAACACACTCCATGTCATCCAACCACGTTCATAGCCTGCGAAGAGGCAGTACCCGTCCGGCGAGTAGCTCATGAATGTCAGACTGCCTGTCGTGTTGGGCGAAGCAGGAAGCTGAAGTTTATGTGAGAGAGGGACATTTCCCAAGTAGTCTTTGGCTGTGTAGACGAGAATATCACCATTCGCACAGCTTACCGTAAGCAGTGAAAAACGCGCGTTGACGGTAACTTTTACGGCTTTCTGCCCATCATCTGTCGGAGTATGGAAGCAATGGCCATTGAATAACTTCTTCGGGAGTTCTGACTCGTGCGGGTCATCGGAGATGCGTTGAACAGCATAGGCTTGTCCTTCACTGGTAACCCATACCAGGAGGTTTATCGCACGGTCATATACCATATCTGTAATAGATATCCGCTTCGAGATACCGAGAATGCGGCTCAAAAGCTCCGACGTGGTTTGGGTACCGTCCTCATCGGGGGTCCATCGAATGCACTGTATAGCAGCGGGCTTCACGGTACCAACCACAAGCTCATTATCCAACGCCAACGCTTTCACAATTCCAGACTCTATCTTGATCGCCATTCGAAAACGTATGCTTACATCCCGGATTGCGCTAGAATCCTCCTCTGCTGATAGGCGGGCAAGCTGCTGACGGCGATTTGACGTGCTCTGATCAAACTGCTGTTGATACACGCGGGCGTTGGGGTCTGTGGAAATGTTGTAGGTAAGAAGATATCCTTTCAGAGTCTGGACAACAAGGATTGTCGAATCGGGACGCATTAAGAGAGCTACGTTGGCTCCGTAGGTTTCGAGTGATGTTGACGACCGAGAGACAGCAGCAACGACTGCGGTAGGCTAAAGCCACTTAGACTATATATGACTAGAGGTTCACAAATTGGTTCACATACCCTCGTTTGCCAAACGGCTATGGACGAATTGGTCATCGTAGCAAACATGTGCCCGCTTCGAGAAACACACAGCCCACTAATAGCTTCATCTGTCCACTTTGCTGATGCGTCCAGCCCGGACAACAGCTCAGATCCATTGTTTTGGTTTAGGGGTAGCCTCTGCTCTGGAGAGTTTTCAGGATCTGCTACATATTCATCGTCTGAGGGTGCAATAGGAATTCCAGGGCCATTAATCGCATAGACCCGAGGAACTCCATTTGGCCAGTACATGGCGCGAGGTAGAGGGGAGAATCACGGAGAAGGCCAGGCACACATCGGGTCATCTTCGTCAAGCTAAGAGACCTTAAACCGCCGCGCACTGGACAAGCACGAACCCAGAGCGGCCTACCATAATCATCCGAAGCCTTCCCAATTGCGATGGAGCATTAATGTAATCAACTCCTGAACTCTCCGTCTCCCGCCTTCACTGTCCACCGGAGGTGAGGATCGGGCCGAGCAATCACGTGTATCGCGAGCAAACACTGCAAAAAAGAACCATCCAGATTCCGGACGGCAACATATCCCCCCCGCATCGCAAAATCCCCCCTCCCCATCACATCTTGCCAGCTATACAGGATCTTGAAGAAGTCGGACTGACGTCTTTGCTACCTTCAGTTATGGTAAATTAGCTTTAAACGAACCCTTCTGCTTTTCTATCTCCAGAGCGCATGGAACTAACCTTTTATCTTCTGCTCAATGTAGGCTCCGACAGAGTCCAAGAAGCGCCTTGCGCTCGCAATCATTGATTTCCTCAACACCAGTGTGAAGGACGGCACTCTGACTGCAGATGATGCAGAGTCGATCGAAATTGCTCAATCATGCATCGCCGATACATTCAAGGTCGACCCTTCCAACGAGGCTGCGATGAAGGAAGCTCTGGGAGGACAGTCCCTGGCCAGCATCTACAGTGTGTATGAGAAGCTTCGAAACAAGCCTTCGGCCGGCAGCAGCTCCAGCGCTGGGTCTCAGGCCAAGGCCGATGAAACTCAGAAGCCCCAGTCTGGTGCTCCCACCCCCGAATCTGACAAGCTGAAGTCGGAGGGCAATGCCGCCATGGCTCGCAAGGATTACAACGCCGCTCTCGATCGGTATACACAAGCCCTGGCTATTGCTCCCGCTAACCCAATCTACCTTTCCAACCGGGCTGCCGCTTATTCTGCGTCTGGTCAGTCTGAAAAGGCAGCGGAGGATGCGGAGCTCGCCACCAGTGTCGACCCCAAGTACTCTAAAGCCTGGAGCCGTCTGGGTCTCGCTCGGTTTGACATGGCCGATTACCACGGAGCGAAGGAAGCCTATGAAAAGGGTATTGAGGCAGAAGGCAATGGTGGCAGTGACGCTATGAAGAGGGGCCTTGAAACCTCTAAGAGAAAGATTGAGGAGGCTAGCCGTGGGCCCGAGCCTCCTGCGGATGATGTCGACGATGCGCTGGGTGCATCCCGCGGTGCTGGTGGCATGCCCGATCTCTCTTCCCTCGCCGGCATGCTCGGTGGAGGTAGAGGCGGCGGTGGTATGCCCGATCTTGGGTCTCTGATGAGCAACCCGATGTTTGCAAACATGGCTCAGAACCTCATGAGCAACCCTGATATGCTCAATAATCTCATGAATAACCCTCAATTGAGGCAAATGGCTGAGAACTTTGGCCAGGGCGGTGGAATGCCGGATATGTCAAGCTTGATGAGTGACCCGAACGTTGCGGAAATGTAAGTCTTACAGCAATGCGTGCGCCTTTTAACTTCTCCGTATATTAACGTATACTCTCTTAGGGCCCGTAATATTATGGGCGGTGCCGGACGTGGTGGACAGTAATGCGCTTGCATCTTTTGGCCCTCCCTTTTACGCCCTTGCTGATGCCTGGTTTTTTTTTATTTTGAGTTTTGTCTTGGTAAATAGGTATTCAAGTATGATAATGTTGAGAAGCGTATAGACCGTATTTTGTTTGGAAAGTTAAAAACAAATATGAACTCTGCCTCCCTTACTAATTAAACATCCACCTCTTGATGATGATGATGATGATGATGATGGGCATCTATCTGCACTGTAGAATGAGTCTTATGATGTTGATTGAGATACTATGCATGATCGAAGTGAGAAGGTACGACTAGTATAGTAACAACGCGCTGGACCATGAAACAGATGCAATGACAATGACAGGAAGAGTGGATGGTGATGGAACAGCAGCTCCGCCAAACAAAAGCACCAGGCGCCATCCAAAGCAAAGAAAAACACGAGGCAAAGAGAAATTTCCAATGCATGTGATGTAGTAGGATGCCTCATGTCGTCGCTCTTCTCGTAGATTTGCGAATCGTATGTAAATATGCGGGTGGCAAGGTATTTCACTCTCGAGCACGAACACAGCAGACCAAACAGATAATACGAATACATGCCCATCAAAGGATAGAAAGGAAATGTGAAAATCCGGGGAAGAATTTTCCGAGTAATGGTACTATCAAAACATAGTTTCAAGTGTGCCAGTCCACCTGGCCTCTATCTAAAAGAGTCAATATTGTACAGTCGGATATATCGAACAGTCGAGAAGGGTAAAAAAGGTTCGGAGAAAGGAGTTAAATCGTCGCGAATTGCGGATAATTCAGGATGAAGGTAGAGAGAGAGGATGGTCATAAGGGGTGTATATAGGTGTGCTTAGATGTAGTCACGAGCAGCTTTTTGCAGTTCAATCAACCTCCATCCCCTTGTCTCGGGGTTATTGACATCCTCAGGGATTCTTGTGAGGCCAATCGCATATGTCACAAGCTGGACCTTATCTTCCATACCAGCAGCCAACTCGCCTGTTTTTGTGTTTTTATAAACGTGAACTTCCTGCGTACGGCATGTCACGACAAAAACAGGGATCTCACCAGGATCCAGCATACGAGCGTGAGAGACATCCACGCCACGAATATCTAGAATACGTCCATCTGATTTCAAGCCTGCCGTGGTGTATTGTTTTGCAAGGGCAGCATAGACATGGTACTGGGCATCTGACAGCCAGAGCTTGAGCGTCTCGGCATCTCCCTTGACATAGGCATCGAGAACCTCGGGGAGAATGTATTCACGCATCTCCCGCAAGAATGCCTCCATCTGGAAGTTGGGGTCCATTTCTCGGAACTTCTTAATAACCATAGCTGTTTCATTTTCGGCGAAGAAGCCCGCTACTCGGTCTGAGATACTGCGGGCAGTGCTAATCAAAGGGTTCTCGGACTCGTTGTAGCTTTCTTTCAGTGTGAAAAGCTTCTGCATCATGGGGTTTGAGTCCTTAAAGTCGCGCCAGGATTCTTTCCAAGCCGAGTCTTTGTGTAGAGTAATATTGGTACCGGCTCTGTGCAAGCCACAAGGTTAGAAAACAGTGCATCGAATCTGGAGGGAGGGTATGACATACTCGGGATCTTCAACCATGGGCTCAACCCTGCGGCCAGACTTGGCTTCCATCTCTTCACGAAGCTGCCTCTGTCGCCGGCGTTCCTCCTTCTCAACCCAACCACCATAACGAGAGCTGCTGCCGTCATCAATGGCCTCCTTCACACCCCCAACGGCGGTCTTATAGGCCTCAGTCTCGCGAACAGGACGCGTAGCTCGCTCAATTCCCGAGCCAGTCGCATTGACCCCCTTCCTAATACCTTGGACAACAGGGGTATTCCATGTCCAAACAGCACTTTTGCCGATGGCCTTTCCAGTTGTCTTCAGCGCAGACGAGGTACGTGAGGTAGCAGCCCCTGAAGCTGCTTCATACGCCGCACGAGCGCGCTTAATGTTTTCATTCTCAGTGAACTGATGTGCTGAGGATGCAAGAGCCTTTGTGGACTCGTTCCATTCCTTGGATGCCTTGAACTCCGATTGAAGGGTGTCCCGGAAGACTTGCCAGGGGGATTTGTCTCCGTGGGGGGGTGGAGGAGGCGCATCCTCTTTGTCTTCCTCTGATTTCTTTTCATCTTTAGATTTTTCACTGTTTTCTCCCTCTGACTCTTCGGCTTTCTTTGGATTCTGCTGTTCCTGCTTCTGTTGCAGCCGAGGCGAGCCGACATGGAAGGACCGCGTCAGGTGAAGAGAAGCGTAGGGGGAAAGAAGGCGAGAGACCTGGGGATTAGAGGATCTGCTCAATACTGATGTTGCATAAAAGGGAGCCTGGATAAAGGATGGGTGAGAAGTGACTGCGTTTCCACCTGTCGGCCTTAGAGCCGGCACTTGGGATCGCAGAACGGCCACTCGAGCAGTGGCCGACATTCTGGTAGCGGAAATCATGCTCTGTCTGATGAAAATGGCGCCCAGAACGAAAATTTAATATTAAAAGATATAAGATGTAAGGGAAAGTCCCGAAAGGACAAAGGAACGGAGGTGATTGCAAAGGTTGGAGGCGTGAGGCGAGAAGAAAGCGATCTCGGCAATGACTGATGAAAGGAAAAAAAAGTCGAGCCGCAAATGCCAAGATTCGAAAATTCGGGCCTTTTCCGCCGCCTTCGCGTTCCGAGCCATCAACGCTTCTTCACGGCAGAGGTGTTCAGCCTGCTTTTTTGATCAAACTTCTTCCCTAGATTCTCTTTGAACATCCGGTCATTCTCTTGTTGGTTTATAGAACAAAGTTGCAGAGTTCTTGGGCTACGAACCCTGCACTCCTACTCCTGAATTCCCCAAAATCTTTCCAACCAAGCCCAGCAAAGATGAGCACGACGTTTGTGAATGCACTGGCGAGGGTTTTGCCGTCTGTTGGCCGACAATGCCAGGCCGGAGCCCCCGTCTTTCGCCAGATGAGACAAGCTTCTTCGGCACCCAAACCGTTCAGCTCGAGGGACAAGACTCGTGAAATGGAACGAAAGCTTTTGAACAAGCAACCGGCACAGTCTGCAGGGGAAGGTTCATCACTATCCGCAATATCTAAACTAATGCGCGGAGAGGAACAGCCTGTGAGCCTTGATTATTCGAAGATGGCCGAGAGTCTTGAAGCAGAAATGATCAAACGCCCCTACGCCGACCGATCCCCTCCACACCATCTCCACGTCTACTCGCATAAACACAACACTCAACTGACTTTGACCCGACCAAATGGTAACCCGTTGCTGTCGATGGGCTGTGGTAACTTGGGCTTTCGAAAAGGTGGTCGGTCAGGCTACGACCCAGCATACCAATTGACATCGCATGTTTTCGGTCAGATCCAGGAAAAGGGGCTTCTTCCGGATATCCATCGGCTGGAGATTATCTTCCGGGGTTTCGGGGCTGGGAGAGAAGCGTTTACCAAGGTCTTGTTGGGTCATGAGGGAAAGAATATTCGCGGGCTGGTGAGTCGGGTAGCGGACTCAACCCGGATAAAATTTGGTGGTACAAGGAGTCGGAAGGTTCGCAGACTGGGTTAAAGTCCAGTCCTTGTTCACCAAGTGGATTTGTCTCAGTCCTCCGGAGCCATATGGGAGGAGAGGATCCGAAGATGTCCTTTGCCCAAGCCAAATGGTAAACCGAACGTTCACTCCACGGGTCTCTTTTAAAGCCGCGGGGAGAGAGACATGGCGTGGAGGAAAGAGCGGGTGTGATTTGTGACTTTTATGTATATTATCATGTAGCCTCTTCCTTGGGATACACAGGATTTTCTCTTTATAGTGCAGATTTCGATATGCAACCAGTATATTATTAAGATTCACAAGAGATTTTATAGAATCGATAAACAAGAAACCTCTTTGCCGGTAACAAAACAATAAATTCCTTCTCTCGGTGACTCGATTCCCATATCCGGTATAGCGCGGACAGCTTCCAGGTCTCCCAGTGCGCGAAAGCTCCTGACTGAACACTTCTTATCCTTCGTCTCTAATCATCTATGAGCTTAACTTTTCATATATCATATTTTTATACAATCTTTATTCCGAGCTAAATTCGTGACTTTGAATTCCCGAAACCCTCATTGCATTTTCACGTTGTTCAGGCTGCTCGCGGGTAGATGCGCCTGAGTTGCTCCCCTGCAACGATTGAGCAGCGAATATCTCTTTGGGTAGGATTGATCGGGGGCGGCTTCATGAGTGTTAGAGAATCTCCATTGGGCCGTCGTCCAGGATCGCTTGGATGCACCCTCTAAACCCTTTCCTCCGGGCCTTCTTCCGAAGCACTGTGCCGGGGCAGTGTGTGCCAATTGAGAATCATGTATGTGCCCCCCTCCTAACCCACTTTGCTGCCGATCTTGGAGCTCGATCTTGACATGGCATTACGGTTAGGTCCTCCTTGTTCCTGTGGTTGACTCTTTAATCGGATCGCGCGACCGGGAATCGTCTCTATTCTACTCCGATCTCGTCGTCTCAGAAGAATTCTTAGGCAGCCACACTCTGCGGATACCCATCTCGAACGGGGCCATAGGAGGAAAGGAGGATTCTAACGTCCGCGATAGCCGGGGCAAGGCTAAGCAGGTGACTACTGTTAATGGGAGAACTGTGATAATCAGGGAGAATTCGGTATACAGTAATAAAGGTGAGGCGCATTGTTTGCTGATGCTGTTCTGTTGGATGCGCTAAACAATGCGTTTAGGCTTCAAGTCGCTGAGCCAGGCCCAGCTCCTATCCGATGCGTTGTACTACGCTCCAAGCAATGAATCCCAGCCATGGCTCATTTACTTTATCTCTCGGCCTTTGATCGGCTCCTTTGAACCTGCGAAAATCGTCCCCGCTATCGTGCCCGGAACACTTATCAAACAAGATCCCCCCAAAACCGGTAATAAATCTGGAGAGTCGCCTGGGGGATCGACCTCTTCCCCACCGAAAAAGGAAATTAGGACATTTGGAGAATTGCTGGCCCATTTCCCCATGATTGCAAGACAGATGCAGCCAGGTTTAGAGAGGCTATTCCGCGAATTCGGGAAAGAACTTGGGAAACCACTGCCGCCCCCACCATCGCGGTCGCCCGTGTCAGACGACGATGAGCAGTTACACACCCGTGAGGAGGTTTTTGCTGACGAAGCTGCTTCAATCCGCAGCTCATCGTCACGCCGCCGGGAAGGACTTCCCTTCAACTCTGAAGAGTACTTCGAAGATGATGAAGATCTGATGCGTCGGAGTCTAGAGACAGCCGTCACCGCCGCGATTGATTTATTCCGGTTGGTGGACAAGCAACAACTATCGTTTCTTGGGGCCACCACTGATCTTACAGGACCGTTGGTTGAGCGGTTGATCGAACGTTATGTAGCGGAGCAGGTTCATGAGTCCCTTCTTTTCCCTCGTTTATGCAGCTTCCGCCAGCCTGAAGATGCAGAACTAGATTCTAGAATCCGCCAGATGGAGTACGTTGACGTATCCCAGGTTGGTCTTGCTGTCGAAGGAGGAAAAGATGGGAAACGTGAACTGTTACGCCGCCTCGGCAATGCAGTGGAAGAATTTCGGAAAGTACTCGACGCAAAATGTCCCCATGACATGCTCAACACGCTTCTGGAGACAGTCAAAATCCTATCGTATCCTGGTGACCATGGGAAAGCCGGCCCAAACAACTCCGAAAAGCAGCCGGTTCCGGTCTTGGTCAATGCTGATATTCTGGTCTCACTCCTACTGATCGTAGTGATAAGATCTCAAGTCAAGCATCTACAGGCACGGCTATTATATATGCAGCATTTCATCTATATCGACGACGTTGACAGCGGGGAGATGGGCTACGCTTTGAGCACCTTTGAGGCAGTCTTGACATACTTGGTGACCGATTCTGCGGGCCTTCGCAGGGCCAGCATCCGAAACAAACGGCTTTGGAATGCGACAAAATCCGGGCGTATAATTGATATGAAAGCTATTCTGGAGCCAGATGGAGATCAGGAATCATTATACAACAACCCTTGTGATCCCGACCTGCGTGCAGACGAGGATGTACAACCCGACCAGATGCATTATGGATCACTAGTACCTCCCGTCCCAACAGATTTGGAAGATTCAGCTGAACCACCCCCACTTGCTCATGTATTCCCATTTCAGACGTGGAAAGACTCCTCTCCGCCGCGAGAAACGAGACGACCCATCAAAAGAGTGTCGATGGATGTTCGCAGTCTTTCTGAGTCATCTGGTATTTCGCTACTCTCGCGGACGACGACCATGAACTCAATCAGTAGCACAATCGAAGGGGACAGTTCAATCGAAACATTGACCAAGACCCAGGATCCTGCGGGCGATTCGATCTTGATGATGGCGGTGGAAAGTCGCCAACCTGAGGCTTTGAGATATCTACTTGGTTTGGACGAGTATTACTCGGTGATGGATATCCTTGAGGATACAAACACCGAAGGGACTACTTTACTCAGCGCTGCCGTCCAGCTGGCCAATACCGAAATGGTAGACATTCTGCTTAACTATCTTGAGGAGGAGGCCGATGAAAGTGTCATTGCTTCTTATTTGAGAATGTCTGATGTGCACGGGCGTACCGCCGCCCATTACCTATTCAGCACGCCTTCTGTAATGCACAGGCTGAAACAGATACTTCCGTGGCGCCAACGCGATAAGCACGGTCAGACGCCACTATTTGCTCTCTGCAGGTCCTATGACCATCCTGACTACAACGCAATGGTAAATGAGGCACTCACGGCCGCTCAAGAATCTCAAGAGGATGGTAAGCCCTTACACCTGGATGACCATGTTGATGCGAAGGGCAACACCCTATTACACATTGTCAGCGATCCTGAGATCACCATTCGAATTCTAAGAGAGAGCGATTGTGACCCGAATGCGACGAATGACAAAAGATTTACACCCTTGATGATGGCGAGCAAATACGGACGCGTAGACCAAGTACGGATCCTCTTTTTGGATTCCAGGGTGGATGTACATCTCAAAGAAGCCCGTGGGTTGACAGCTGTCGAACTTGCCAAGGACGATGAAGTTCGAAACCGCATCGATGATCTGATTCTGCTCTCCAATCCCCCGTCGACCCACGATGAGCCTTCGGGCCGGGTCACAACTGTGGTTCGCTCTTTTTTCGTCGAGGATGCAACCGTCCGGTTTGTCCTCAAATCAGGCGCACCTAGTCTGCCAACAAATCCCGATGCAGTTCCTGAAAATACCACCACTTATACAGTCACGACTTGTCGCCGCACATTCTCTGACTTTGAGAATCTGGCCGAATGTCTCTCTCTTGAGCACCCTGCTTCTTACATGCCATCCCTATCCGACTTCCGGAGCCCTTTTCAAGTTCACTCAAAGCCGTCCCGCTCTGTCCTTCATGATATGCAGGAAAAATTAGATAGATTTTTGAAGACTTTGCTGTCCCATCCGACTTTTGCAACACATGAGATGCTGTGGGAATTTTTTCTCGTTCCGGAACTACAACCTGAGATGATGATGGACAGATCCCACCGCAAGGCCCAGGTTCTCTCGGAATCCATTGTGGAGGACTACGAGCCTATTACTACGGAAGGGATACGGGAGACGGAACAGTTCATTTCTCACGCGCAGGACATGGTCCGCGCCTCCCACACGCATACCCGTAGCTTAATCCGCCGAGGCCACGCTCTTCAAAATGCCGCGTCAGATATTGCTGATGCCGTTGCCCTTTGCTCTTCTGCCATCTCAACTCTCAAGGAACCCACCAACGCTCTCCCTAAATCCTACCTTGATGCATTCTCTCGCTATGCGACTTGTCTGTCAACCTCGTCCTCGGATTCCTCTCCACTTCTCCAGTTCCTTGCTTCCCTCACCTCTGTTGACAACACCACCTCCGCGATTCTTTCCTCCTTATCTCGCCCTGTGTCTCTTATCTCGACACTGAACTCCGCCAACCGGAACCTATCTAGATTCCGTTCCTCTCTTGCTTCTTCATCACTGCCCCGAAAGTTCAACCTTAATTTCCCGGGGCTAGAAGAGTCGCGGCTCAAATCCGTCCGTGATCTTGAGCATAAAATCCGTGACTCGGAAACGCAGATCTCGCGCCTCTCGCGCGAGATTTCATGGAACAAAGATGTGGTCGTTGGCGAGCTGGCCGGCTGGACGTCCTGGCGCGAGAAGATTGGACGCGACGCGATCCGGTCCTTTGTCAGGACCACTCTTACTCGGGAGAAGGAACGAGGGAAACGTCTTGAGCGCTGCTTGAGAAATGTACGCGAGAAGAACGTCCCTTCAACCCAATCATAGATAGATATATTCATTGTAGACTTAGCCTCCCCCCCCTGTACTTCTCTTTTCTTGGCATATTTCTATTTTGTCAGGCTTAAAAAAAAAAAAACACCCTCTTTTTTACTCTTTACTTAGATAGGTAGTTAGTGAGTGAGTGATCCTGACCTGATGACTATTCTTAATTGCCACTGTTATGATGATGACGATATGGAAAGAATTCAGGAGATTTAACCAGAACGATGTCCCTGGATCCAATACATAAAGACCGTGTCTATCGACGTACGGCAATCATTAATCTAGCAAATCGTACCACTACCCAATAAATTAGGTTATATATATATATGTATAAGGCAGTGCTTGAAATTATCTCCCTGCTCCACCACCTAGTTAGTTAACTAGTTATGTATAGTTATAAACAATAGATTCGTAAGTCAACATGGGATTTACCTACCTAACTACCTGATCATGCCAAAAGTTTTCTTCTGCCCCTGTAGCTCAGTGGTAGGGCGTGTGACTGCACGTGCCCTGGCCCTATCTATGTCAATTGCTGAACTGCTTGCTAACTTACCTAGATAGCTAACTATGCAACAGTCTATTCATTTTCTTTTCTTTTCTTTTCTTTTCTTCTCTTCTCTTCTCTTCTTTCTTTCTTGTTGGGGGGGGGGAGAGGGCAGACATGCCTATACTCCGTACTGTACTGTAGCCAGTGTATAAGAAAGCACCTTTATTAGGTCTATTTTTGCTATCCTCTCTAGCATAAACTCGTGTACAATAATTGGAGAATTGTCTAATCTTGTTAAAGTTACATAACTACTAACTAGTATAATCTAAGGAGACTTGAGGGAGCCCTAAGAACCCCAACACCTGGACAAAATCCACCAGCTCACAGTATATGGTTTGAATGTCCCCAAGCTCCAAGGGAACAAATCCAAAATTCAGCAATGGGAGGTGCAAAATCCTGTCAGCTTTATTTCCCCTGCCATGGTCTAACCCAGCAGCTGACCAGTTGGGATCCAAGGATCTTAACCGACCAGAAGCGCATGCCACATGGCTAGAAACGAAAGAACGGAGACACCGTCTTTTTGAGAGACGGCAACCGGAGAAATCTGGATGAATTCGAGGTTTCGACAGGCTGCTCTGTATGAACAGGTTCAGTCGCAGATGGTGCGGGAGCCTCTGTCGATTGAAGGATAGGGACGGCTGATCGTGACACCACAGGTTCCAGAGGTGGTGACACAATGACAATCGGCTTCGGTATAGACCCAGAGCGTCCCTTTCGAGAAGAATTCAAGGCGTCCAAAGGAGATGCTGCTTCGAATTTGATATTCACCGGCGAGGAGTTTGTTTCATCTAGGGTTGTTGTAGCGATGGTATCCCGTGTAGGCGTAGTATCCGGGGTAGGCGTAGAGGAAGAGCCGTGGGGAGTTGCACAAACCACTCGAGTTACAGATCCATTATTCTGTTCGACCACATATGTGCGAGAGGAGTTCTCGCTGAACATCAGGTTCTCTCGCTTGCGTCTTTTCTCCATCGTTGAATTCGTGTTGGACCCCCTGCTGTCCCTTATGCTAGAATTCTGCCTCCATCTTCTGCGCAGCCTTTGAATAAATAGCACCACTAGGAAGAGAATTGCTGCGGCGGTAATTGCGGTGAAGATACTGGCTGCAACAATTGAGCCTGTTCGATAGCTCCAGTTCGAATCCAGTGACTTGGATGTTTTTGTAGGTTCTAGGGAGTCTGTCTTCGAGCCTTCTGGCGATCTCGCCAGATTACAGGCTTCGAAGTTGCAATGATGTTCTGTTTTATCTCTCCAACCAAGGCCCACTGGTTCGATTATATTCTTCATGATTGATGAGTTGGTTCTCGGGAATAAGTGAAAAGGCCGTGAGTTGGAGACAAGCTGAACTTGAACGATCGATAGCATCAAGAATCGGAGTATTACAATGTTGCAGACGGTGTAGCAATAAAGAGATTTAATATAATATATAAAAGAAGGACATTAAGGGTATAATAGACAAGAACCTGATTGATTCTTTCGAGGCCAGAGAGGTCGTCCGGCCAGCAACCAGCATACGGAAGCAAGTGCGTTCGGAGAGAGGACAATTCCTAGGCAGCTGCGCAAAAGAATGGATTCTTTATGGATATAATTACGTAGCTACTAGTAGGAGACTTTGGTAGTGTTGAATCCAACATGGTGCCCTCTACCGGTGTAGTTTATTAATTCGTTCTAAGCATTATAGTATATCTACAAATATACTGATGAAGGTCGTCAAACTATGACAGTAGAGAGTTGACCGAAATGAATTTAATTAGGTCTAACTAGGAAAATAGAGAAGGAGAGATGCTTTGAGAAAGTATAAAGATCTAGAAGAAAATAATAGCCTAAATATATAGAGTAGTCACGTGTTATTATCTTCTTTATAGTAATGCTACTTTATGATAGTACTGGTTACATTTACTGAGTATAGCACTCTAATACACCCCCCTTAGCAACATATCTATTATATAAAGCTATTTAGAGTCTATCTCTAACCTGCTAAAATCTAATCTCTTAATAAATTTATTAAATTTTATAGTTAGTAATATCTTAATTAGCCTATTAATAATATTATTCTCTCTACTAATTATTTATAACTAAATTTTATTATTTTTAATTACCTTTTTAATAAAGAAGTAATAAATATTTATCTAGTAAAGTATAGATATATAATTTAATTTTTTTATTAATATAATAATATTTATAAAATTAATATATAAAAATATAATATCTTTTATAAACTTTTCTAATTTAATAACTATATATAGCTTTTATAATTATATAACTAGCTTTATTATAGTATTTTATATAATAAATTTAGTAATAATTAAATTTAAAGTAATTAATAATTACTTTACTAATCTCTATATAATTAGTACTCTAAATATAAAAAATATAAAGTCTTTTATTAACTTCTTATCTTTATAATCTATATAGAAGGTATTAATATATATATATAATAGATTATCTAAATAACTGTAAGTGTCTTGCTGGCGAGGCGCTTGGGTATGGGTAGTGTTGGTAAAGGAAATAAAGCTATATGAAGTATAAGGGTAGTAGAAAGATATTAGAAGTAATAAAATAAAGTACTTGCCTCTTAATACTTTAGGGATTATTATATTATTATTTATATTACTTAGTTAAGTTACTAGCATAATATAAGTAATTTAAATATTACTATTCTTTTAATTATTCTTAGTTACTAGATATATAGTTTAGTATATAGTTTAGTATATAATTATATATTATATAATTACTATAATAATTACCTCTTCTTTTCTTAATAATATATCCGCGCGCTATATATATTATACTTAATCTAGCTTAATACTTTATTAAGGAGAAGCTAGTCCTAGTTAGTATAATATAATCTACTTTTTTATTTAATACTAGAAATAATAATAATATATATAATATTACTTTTATTAATTATACTTTATTAAATAAAATATAAATAATATTATATTTTACTTTAAATAAAATAATAAATAGGAGTAAATAATTTACTAGATATACTAGTAATAAGTAAAGATATTATTATAATATAAATATTATAAGAAAATATTCTTTTATATATATTTTTCTTAATTTAATCTATATTTTAAAAAGTTTCTCTTAATAAATTAATATATTATACTAGATAGATTATTATTACTTAAGTATTATAATAATAATTAACTATATTATAAATCTTATGGCTCCCTTAAAGTATCCTTTATTAGATATTATACTAACCATGTCTCTATAGAAAAGAGCTTATTTAATTATTATTATTTTTTCCTCTATAAGTACCTTTATTCTAGTAATATAAATCTATTATACTAATTATTTATAAGCTCTTATAGCAAACCTTCCTATACCTATATTAATTATAATACTTATAACCTTTATTACTACTAGTATATTTCTTATAATTCCTACTATTATTACTTTATTATCTAGTAAGACTATATCCTCCTTATCCTCTATAACTACTTCTAGTATTATAGTAACTCCTACTATTTCTTTCTTTATTTCTTTTACTATAGTAACTCTAGCTGCTCCTACTATTATTATCATGCTAGCTCCTGCTATTATACTAACTTCTATTATTATGCTGGCTCCTATTATTCCTACTATTACTATGGTCCTAGCTGCTCTAACTATTCTAGTTACCTCTACTAGCCTGGCTACTATTACATGGATACTATATTACTTATATTATATTAAGTCTTGGTAGTATATAAATAATAGTCCTATAGAAGCCTATTTTTATATATACCTAAATTTAGAATAATAGTATATTTAATATACTTACTTATATAAAAAGTACTTTCTTATTATCTTACCTGTATAAATTAGTTTTAAAAAAATTTAAGTAATATTTAGTAAGGTAGTAGGTATAATAGCCTATATCTAATAAACTTATATTATTAAGATTTTTATTTATTATCTTAAGATTAAGAACTAGATAAAGAGATTATTTTAATTTATTAATTATAATATATTTTACTTATTTAATATATAGTATATTAGGGGTAGTATAATAGAGTTAGAAGATAATAATAAAAAAATTTAGAATAATTATAATAATTAAGAGTTTATTAATATTATAATATAGGTATTTTATTATTTCTATTTTTATATAATAAAATTAAGTTATTTTTTTAAAATTTTTTAATATTTATAATATATTCTTATTAAATTTTAAAATCTAGTAGAAAAAAAAAAATAATATTATTAATATATTTTTATAATTTTTTTAATTTTTTAATTTTATTAATTTATTATTTTTATATTTTATTATTTTATAATATTTTACTAGTACCTTATTTATATCTTATTTATATAGTAAAACTTATTTAAAATATCTTATATATTTTTTAAATTTTTTATTAATTACTAAATATTCTTATATATTAGCTATTTTTTTTATTTAACTAGATATTAATCTTTATTATATAATTTTTATTATATAATAATTTATTCTACCTTTTATTCTTTCTTATTATTAATAATAATTAACTAGAGTAATACTAGTAAGTTACTATCTCTTATATTTTATTCCTTAAAAAATAATATATAAAAGACTAGGTAGATTTTCCTATATAATCTAGGTAATTATAGGTAGTATATTTATTAGTTTATTATCTTAACTATTTTAAATAGCCCTTTATATTTAATATCTAGCTTCTTACTAGGCCTTTATATATAGATATTCTTTATAAATAGTAGTATTTATTAGTCTATATAGTATTTAGTTAGGTAATACCTTCTATTATAGTTCCTTACTTACTATTTAGTAGTATAGTATAGGCTCTTTTCTAATTAATAGTATTTTACTTATAGTTAGTTAAATTATTCTCTTACTATTATAACTATACTAGAATCCCTAATATTAGTAAGCTTAAGTAGTACTAGCTAGTAATTATACTATATCTTATAAAAGAATATTCCTAATAATATATTTTTTATATTATTATATATAAATTCTATTATATCTAGCTAGTTTATTTAATTAATTTATTAGTAATTAATATAGGTCCTTAAATAAATTTTTAATATCTAGTTCTAATATTCTATTTAACTATTTATCTATAGATAAAATATAGTACTTAATTATTTTTTAACTTAAAGTCCTTAGTATAGCTAGGTCTAATATTTACTAGTAAAGAGTAAGCTATAGTTACTTACTAGACTTCTTAATACTCCTATTTTAAGTATAATCTTTTTTATAAATATATTAGCTAGCTCCTTAGTATTAATATTTTTTATTATTAAGAGGTATTTAACTTTCTTAATATATTAATTTATAATTATTAAGATAATATTATATATATACCCCTTTTATATTAATAGTAGTAAGCCTATAATAAAGTCTAGAGTTAGGTCTTATTAAGGGTATTCTAGTACCAGGAACTTTATAAGCTAGCCTAGTAAAAGTTATTTAAGTATTTTTATCTTTTAATAAATTAAATAGCTTTTTATATACTTCTTAATATTATATTATAGAATATTCTAATAAAATTTTTATTTAATAAGATTTAATATCTTTTCTTAACTAAAATAGCCTATATATAGATTATTATAGTATATTTTTAATAATTCTTAATATATTATTTAATTAGAAAAAATATAAATAATTTTACTATATTATATTAATTTATTACTATTAATATATTATTTATTCTTATAAATTTATCTTTATTTAGTATTATTCTTAAGCTACTTTATTACTTCTTATTTAAATAGTTTCCCTACTATTTAAATATATTTCTAGTATACTAGATATTTCTTACTAGTATTACTTTAAATTTAATTTATATAAGTATTCTTATATTATATCTTTTAAAATAAATTTTATAAAATAATTAATAATATTTTATAGGCTTATTTATTACTAGCTATTTTTTATATTAGTATTTTTTAGGTTAAAAATTCTAAATCTTTTAATTATATAATTAGGATTTTTTAGGAAGTTATTATCTTATTCTTACTTTAATTATTCTATAAATTTCTTAACTTTACCTAAAGTATAGGTAAGAGTCCCTTAACTATATCTTATTAGGCAGGTTTATAATCCTTTTATCTTAAAAGTATATTAGCTAGGTTAAGGCTATTAGGCTAATATTTAATCTAGAAATTATATATTATTAGAAGCTTAGTCTATCTAGTCTAGTATTAATTTAAAGTCTTAATAATATAGAAATATTTTAGATTTATATAATTTATTTATATATATATTATATATAAATTACCTTTAAAATAATAATATTATATCTTAAAATATTTTATTATAATTAATAATTCTTAATTATAAGTTTTATATT